TTCTGAGGAGCAGCTGGTGGGTTTGAGCCACTGACCTTGTGGTTCAAACTGACCTTGTAGTGCTTATCCTGCAGTGTCCACCAGGAGTCCTTTTAAACCTAGCAGGATGGCAAAACTAACCAATCCCAGCATTTGAGTCCTTTAGCTCTGGTAGCGTAGTGGTTACAAATCGGGCTGCTAACCTCAAGATCGGCAGTTTGTAACTACCAGCTGTTCTCAGGAGAAATATGAGGCTTTCTGCTCCCATAAAGATTTAGAGCCTCAGAAACCCTGTGCAGGGTCACTATGGGCCAGAACCGACTCCACGGTACTAAACAACAACAACTACCCATTTGCATTGTTCCATCCAATCACTGGACTCCTGGTGTGGCTCTGTAGGATCAGCACTGGACTGTGAATCACAAGGTAGGTAGTTAAAACCCACCAGCTACTCCTTGGAAACCCTATACAGGGTCACTATGGGTAGGAACCTACTCACAGCACTTAACAACAAGAAAACTTTGAATAGAAAAGCTGTAACAAGTAAATTCAAGGTAGCACAGTTGGGAAGAAGGATGGAATGGAAATAAGAACCACAGGAAGAAAGTGAGATAAATTTCACCTCATTGAATGCAGGCTCCTCCTTGTAACAACATCACTGAGATGAAACAAAGTGCATTGTTTGAATGTAAAGCTCATGGTCTGCTGTACTCAATTCACAATACAAAGTTTCTGTTTAAATTACCAGCTAATATGTAGCTTTTCTAGATTCATGCTTCATACATTGCATGTTCCAATTATTAATGGATGTGTGCAGCTGTTTCTTCTCATGTACAGCCCATCAGATGAAGGTTCCTAAAGCTTTACTTCATTCACTTCATTAAGATCAAGTCTACTTTGAGGAGGCAGCTCGCTCTTCCCCAGTCATATTTTGACTGTCTTCCATCTAAGGGGCTCATCTTCCATAACTACACTAGACAGTGTTCCCCTGCTCTCAGAAACTTTGTCATCAGCTAATTTTTTAATTTTTTGAGTGAGAGGGTAGTAGAACACCAAGTTCTTCTTCCTAGTCTGTCTTAGGCTGGTTGTTGTTGTTAAGTGCCGTCGAGTCGGTTCCGACCCATAGAGACCCTGTACAGGGTTTCCGAGACTGTAAAGCTTTATGGGAGCAGAAAACCTCATCTTTCTCCCTCGGAGTGGCTGGTAGTTTGTAGATCTGCTAAAATGTGCCCACCATGGGTGGCATTTGAAGGACTGATGGTGTAGCTTCCAGAATCACAGCTACAGGACGTCAGGTGAGGGTGGGAAGACTTTGTCTCACATATTTTGAATATCATGTTTGGTAAAACAGAGGGCTAACAAAAAAGAGGAAGACCCTCAACACAACGTAATATAACACAGCAACTGCAACAATGATCTCAAGCATAGCAGTCATTGTGAGGATGATGCAGGCTCCGCAGTATTCCATTCTGTTGTACGTGGGATCACGAAGCATCTAAACCAAAATACAAGACTACGTAAGGCCAAGTGCAACTGCCAGGCAGCAATAGCAGAAAACGCTTACGCAGCCCTTGGCCCACCAGTCTTGACCTTGGGTGATTCTTGACTAATTTCTTTTCAATCTGGGAGGTTCCCATTTATTTAAAAATATGTGCATATATTTGGATTTCATTTGTCTTTTGATATTGCACAAGTTTAAACTTGTATCCTTTAAATGAGCATAAAAGATGTATGTACCATAGGGGCTCGAGATGTGAACATACACAGGTGACTTACAGTCCCTTGCACTTCCAAAGGGTAAATGGTGTTGATCCAGCTACAAAGGTTCTTGTGGGTCTGAAGTGGTTCAGAGTGTGCGCACCACAACAGGTGATAAGAGACAAGGAACCAGAAGGTACGTGCTCAGGTAAACTTGAAATACAACTGGCAACGATATCTGTTGGGTATCAGACATTGATTGGTATCAGTCTTCCGGAGTCTAGGAGGAGCCCAATACAGAGGCCTGGTTCCCAACGACACCCTCAGCTCTCAGCTCTTCTTTCTTGGTGGGAGTGGGTTCCTCCTTTGCTGGCATCGTTCCTCTTATCTCTTGTAAGATAAAACTTGATGCAGGTCACACCCCAAGGAATCTTCCTTAACATTAAACCAGGACTGTGACCTAAGTAAGGGTGTTGTTGTTGTTGTTAAGTGCCATGGAGTCGGTTCTGACTCATAGCAACCCTGTATAGGGTTTCCGAGGAGCAGCTGGTGAGCTTGAACTGCTAACGTTACCGTTCAAACTGACTTTGAAATCCAGTGCATTAACTCACAGCACCATACCAGGACTTGTAAGGGTGCTGTGTTCCACGGTAATCCCCTGACAATTGATTGGTTGATCATATCAGCTCACATCAGGGGGATGATAACATCACTTTGTAGCTGTCAAACCATTGATACATACCTTGGGGGGGGGCATGTAATTCAATTCATAATAGGCACTTCTCTACATCTTTCACACACATATTATCTTATTTAACTCTTATATACTCACATGAGGCAAATATTAACAACAACAAAAAACAAACCCCACAGAACCTTTTGCTGTTGATTCCGGCTCAGGGCAACCCATGTGTGTCAGAGTAAATCTGTGCTCCACAGGGTTTTCAATGACTGCTATTTGGGAAGTAGATCACAGGTCTTTCTTCTGAATGGATTCTGGCCATCCACCTTTCAGTGTGCAGCCACATATTTAACCATCGGCACCACCCAGGGACTGACTCCTAAATATTCATTTTCCTGTTTTACATATGGAAGAAATGAGGCCACCCAGCTGTTAGGTGGTGGTGCGGAGTTTTAACCCTAAATAATTTTCTACTACCAGAACCCAAAAAGAGCTCTGGTAGCATAGTGGTTACGAATTGGACTGCGAACCACTAGGTCAGCAGTTTGAAGCTATCAGCCACTTCGTAGGAGAAAGATGAGGCTTTCTGCTCCCGTAAAGATTTACAGCCTCGGAAACCCTGTACAGGGTCGCTATGGGTCTGAACCAACTCAATGGCATTTAACAACAACAACACCAGAACCCAAACTCATTGTCTTATTGTCTTATTAGATATCAAAAAAGTTGTGATACATGCAAAGTTTGTCTTAGATCCTTCCATTTTTCCTCATTTTCAAGGCCTATTTATTTTATTAAATATAGTCCTACTCACAACTGTAATGGGCATGTTTAAGACAGTTCGGAAAACACAGAAAGATAGAAACTACCATGATTCAAACATGATTTTATCATCCACAGTTAAACTTCTTGTGTGTTTCCGTCTCCCTTCTAGTGTTTGTTTCTGTGTATTTGATTTTGTTTTTGTATGTTTTACAGAGTTGTAGTCAATTTGTATACCCAATTCAATTCTTTTCTCTCTCATAATATTAGAACATGTGCTACCTCATGCTATTAAAATCTTCATAAACTTTCTTATAGTGGGTGCATTGTGCATTATTACATTATATTATGGCTGCTCTACAACATACTCATATTTACAATTCTGCCCTTGGTGGACATTGATTTTTTTTTCCAGCATTTTTGCTGTACAATGATTATCTTTGTCTTATCTTTCCTGGTATTTCCCCCTTCTGATAGTTCTTCAGTTCTTCTTCAGGTATCTGATAACGCTAGCCTTCCTTCTTTCTCTCAAAGTTTGCTTTCTGGAAAGAATATTATGAACTCATTCATACTAAAGTAGACATGGTTGACAAAAGTTAATCATTTCATGGAGCTCTAATTCTGTGGGGTGGTAAATCCAAGAGTTATTTTTTCTGCTTAATGGGAGAGAAGATTCTCCTGTAGATTTAAAAAAAGGGGTGGGGGGCAGACGATTTATGGCTGCAGGTACCTGTGATACTGTGAAACGAAGGAAAGATTAGGTGAATGAGAAAATCTTTTTAGCACCACTAACCTAATTCTTTCAAGTCTCCAGTATTTGCCTTGCCAAGGCATTTGGCCTTAGGGAAGGCCCGCCCACCTCCTCTTCAGAACAGCCTAGTCCGGTTCTCAGTCCTCATTATTTTGCCGAATCTCATAGTAGCCACAGAGCAAGTGTCAGAGAGCAGGAATGAAATTCTAAGAGGCCCCATTAGAGTTGTCTATACACGGGTACACTTCGTGCTCTGGGACCACAAAAAACGCCTGCTGAAGGGTCTCCTCCTTCGTCTCATAAAAGGAGGCTTAAAAGGTAGCGTAGTGGTTACGAATCGGGCTGCGAACCTCAAGGTCAGCAGTTCGAAACTACCAGCTGTTCCGCGGGAGAAAGATGAGACGATCTGCTCCCGTAAAGATTTACAGTCTCGGAAACCCTGTTCAGGGTCGCTATAGGTCGGAACCGACTCGACGGCACTTAACAACAACAACAAATCATACCTGTAGGGGAGTATGTGGGGGGGACGACATCCTTCTTAATAATACCTGTGGGGTGGGGAATTGGGGCTAGGGGCCCCGGTGAAGGTTCACCAAGGTGGGATCTGAGCCCAGCACTCTCTCTCTCCTACCTCCTTGAAGCTTCAGGCTTTGTGGGCTTCCAGAGTAGAACTCAGTTTCCCAGACTCCAAGCCTCCCCAGCTCCAAGGACACCGGGAGCTAGCGCTGGAGATAGGTGCTGTGGGGAAGAGGGTGGTACAGGATGAAATGAAAATCCAAGGAGGTGGCGACTCCGCCCCCAGGATTAGGGAGAGAAGGAAACCTTTAATCCGAAAGTCTAGTTTTGGTGGGGGCGTGGGAGGAAGGGAGCGAGCCCCCTGCGGAAGGCTGCCCCAGTCTCTGCAGCGCCCCCCCACCCCACGCCTCCTCCGGGCTGCGATCCGCCTCCTATCTCAGCTCCTCCCCGCGCGCTGGTTGGCCCGGCGCGGCAGCGGGGAGGAGCCGGCGACCCACGCACAGCAGCCGGTGGCTCGGGTTCGAGAGCTGCAGGCGAGACAGTGACAGCGGCGGCCAGCGCGCACCCGTTCCCGCCGCCTGAGCTTCGAGCGCGACTCCGAGCCCCACGCCAGCCATGGGGAAGCCGGTCAGAAAGGGCTGCGACTGCCGGCGCTTCGTCCGGAACAACTGGCTACTGCTCGCCACTGTGGTTGCGGTGGTGTTAGGTGAGCGCGCCCCGCGCCCAGGCCGCGTGCGCACCAGGGTGGGCACCAGGGTGGGCGCGCGCCAGGCAGGGTCCCGGGTGTGCGCGCACCAGGGTGGGCATGGCGCTGACGCTGGCTCACGCTGCACAAGCATCCCTGGCTACCCCTCGGCCGTGTCTTTGACCCGAGGTAGGGGCTTCTCCCAGAGCGCGCGGATGTCCGCGTGCGCAGAGCAGAGCTCCCCCGGGAACTCCTGTTTGGGGGAGCCGCGAGCTGCTTCACCCAGAAAGAGACAGGAGGCTGGGGAGGAGGAGGAAAGCCAGTCGCTTCCCTTCCCGACTGGTAGCAGACACGGCTTAATTTTTTTAAATCCGTATAACCCTCACCTCCCACCCCCCGCGCGTTTTTCTTGAGTCCCGCGGTCCCAAAGATATTGTGGATGGGCGATCTCAGCTGAGCTAGCAGCGGCCGCTTGGGTTCCGGGTGCCCAAACCAGGAGAGGCAGGCCAGGGATGCTGCCATGGCTCACCCCCGGCAGTGCCGCCCACCCTGGAAGGGTGCCTTCCCACGTCAGAGCGCGCCCAGGGGCACCTAAAACCTGCTGGATCCGTGTCTGAATTCAGGAGTGAGCAGTGAGTGCCGGTGGAAGGCATGGTGAGCAGCCAGCACCGAGAGAAGTCAGATCCCCCCACTTGCCACCTAGGTCTCCTCTTTGACATCGCCTTCTCCTCTTGCTCTCCCCATTGCTTTTCTAATGAAAATAAATTGTAAGTCATCCTGGCTTTGTTTTTAAACTAGGGTGTATTTTCGGGTGATTCACTCCTGAGGGATCACCCGACGAGGAGCGTGTGGGAATCACTGCTCCAATGTCCTTTTTAAATCCTACTTCGATTCTAAATTGACTACCAGGGTTCGTCTCTGTTTCTGAAATTGGTTGGACCCATCCTGGCTTCCTCTTGGAGATCACACAGTGGGGTCACTCAGCAGGTGAGGGCTACTGCACCTTTTCTGAGCTTGGATTTGCTGAGGTTTCCATCTTCCCCTTTGGAAATGCATGCTGGTGTTGGAAGGACTGGTGGGGGGCGTGCCTGTCCTCCTCTTAATTTCTCCCAGTGTTCTTTCCAGCTGCTTCCTCCTTATCTTAGAGAATATTTGCTGTTGCCACCTTTCCCCTCCAGGCATCTTCCCCTCAACCCCCACTCCCAGCCAAAAAAAAAAAACAGACAAAAAAAAAAAAAAAGCCTCTGAAAGTTAATGGAATCCTCAGGGTCAAACATGGTATTCCAGCACCTTCTCCCAGGGAAAGTCAGGTCCCTAGTAAATCAGTAATCCCCTGGAAGTAAGAAGTTCTTTGCTGGAGGGAAGGAGAGAGTCTTGACTGCTTAACTCGGTTTCCCCAAAGATTGCAGAATAGCTCTGGACGTTTTGTGGTGTATCCATCCCGCTCCACTACACTGAAGTAATAGACCACCATGAGGGAGTGTTTTGATTTGTATTCAGCATCCCAGCCAATACAGGAAAGGAATTTTGTTATGGTGCTATAGGATAAGTACTGGACTGCAAGGTCGGTTGAACTTCAAGGTTGGCGGTTCAAACTCACCAGCCGCTCCTCAAAAACCCTGTACGGGGCTGCTATGAGTTGGAACCAACTCAAGTGCATTTAACAACAACAAACAGAAGAAATAGTGTGACTCCACTCCACTGGACTGCAAACCACAAGCTTGTCTGTGGGAGAAAAATGAGGCATTTCTGCTTCTACACCGAAAACACTTCAAAAGCCTTGGACACCCTATATATAGGGTTAGGAACCAACTCCACTGCGCTTAACAGCAAGGGAAGAAATGGCCTGGTTTTCCCTGAGCACTTTGTTAAATCTCCTAAGGACATTCGCAGGTCCCCATGGAAATAGAGTAATTGTCCCTTTTCTGCCTCAGGGTCCTTCACAGATATTCGTTTGTTAACCAAGTGCTGCATGCACCCAAGTGTGCTCTGTACTGGTTGGTTTGAGCAGTTGTTTCTCTGGTGGTGCTATGGGTTAGGCATTGGGCTGCTAACTGTAAGGTCTAAGGTTCAAAGCTACCGGTCGCTCCATAGTTGTGTGCTTCTGTAAAGATTTATAGTCTCAGAAACCTCGTGAGTTGGAATTGACTTAGTGGCAGTAGGTTTGGGGTTTTTTGTTTTTTATTTTGGTTCTCCGAACTTTAGGTGCATTCATGTTGTATAAAGGTGCTCTTGTAGCGTGGTGGTTACGAATCTGGCTGCAAACCTTAAGGTCAGCAATTCGAAACTCCCAGCTGTTCCAAGGGAGAAAGATGAGGCTTTCTGCTCCTGTAAAGATTTACAGCCTCGGACACCCTGTACAGGGTCGCTATGTGTCGGAACCGACTCCACGGCACATAACAACAACATGTTATATAAATACATTTTCAGGGTCAGCAGACATTAAACCAAAACCAAAACCCTCTGCTGTCTAGTTAATTCTCACTGACAGTGACCCTATAGGACAAAGTAGAACCGCCCCGAAGGTTCCCAAGGCTGTCAGTCTTTAGGGAGCAGACTGCCACACCTTTCTCCATAGAGGCAGCAGATGGGTTTGAATTGTCAACCTTTCAGATAACAGCCAAGTGCTTAATTACTGTGCCACTAGAGCTCCTCCAGCAGGGGTCGTCTGCCCGTTGGTGTCAGGTGGGCACTTTGTCCTAGTACTGGGGCGGGTGAGACCCAGGAACTTGCTGTAGATACTCTTCCTGTTTGAACAATACCCTTGTCTTCAGAAAGAAGAGCGCGTGTTTTGAAGCCATGAATGTACTGGATAGCGAGCGCCCCACTGAAGTCTTCTTGGCCTTTTGCACCTTCAAACAGCAGGCAGGTCGTGTCAATCCCCACCCGACCCTGGTTTGGGGGCATCTCAGACTAAGACCACTCCTAACTTGTGCCTGAGACCTCCTCTTCTCATTTTTCCTCAGAGCGCTGGGCCCAGGAGCGACTGAAACCTCCATGTGTGTGGTCTGTGCTGGCTGGTGAACCAGCAATTCATCTGGAGTCAAATTCATTAATAATTATTCAGCCTTTATTCCAGTCGCCATTGAGTCGATCCCAACTCGTAATAACCCCATGTGTCAGAGTAGAACTGTGCTCTGTAAGGTTGTCTGGCTTTTTGGAAGCGGATAGCCAGGTGCTTCTTCAGAGGAACTTTTAGGTGGACTTGAACTACCACAGCCTGTGTTAGCATGAACCTTTTCACCACCCATGGACATCAGTGAATTAACCAGAAGTGAAGTTGCAACAGAATTAAAGCTGTGACCCTAAGCTAGCCTGTAAGTCTTCCTCGGTCATTCTGTGAAGAATTCATTTTTATAACTGCTGTAGCTCAGCAACACCTCAAAGAGGTCACACACAGTCCCTCTCCTGGATCACTCCGCATCTGGGCTTGAAACGTGTGTGTTACTTGCCCTGACACTATAGCATCGTCTGATTTCAGCCATTAAAATGTCTGTTCCCTGCTCTCTAATTCAGCAGGCCTGACTCTTTGAAATATTTTGTTACTGAAATGAGGGGCACAAAGGTTTATGTGCCAGCTTGAAGCCTTTGATTCTTTAAGACCTACCAAGTGACAAGAAAGCAACTAAAGGTCATCTGTAAACGATTTGCACTCAATCCGGAGCCTAAAGGTTGACACCTTAGACCCACCCAGGAGTGCTGCGGAAGAAAGGTCTGGCATTCTGTTTCCATAAAGGCGGTTGTTGTTGTTAGTTGTCACTGATTTCATTTCAGTCAAGAAAACCCTGGGAAGCCGTTCTGCTCTGGAATACATGGTCGCCGTGAGTCAGAATCAACTCAATAGCAACCACTTTGGTTTTCGAGTTGGTGTATTAAGTATGAGAGTTCATTGTTTACATGGACAAAACTCAAGCAACCGCAAAGTTGGTTCTGACACATGGTGACCCCACATATGTCAGTGGAGAATGTGCTGCATTGGGTTTTCCAGATGCTATAAGCTAAGCATTCATTAAATTCTTCTTCAGACATTGAATAGTTAGGCACAGTAATTGTTCATTTTTCTGCTAAACCCTACAGAACTTTGTAAGTAACATCTTGGATATTCAGATGAGAGGTCTTTACCACTAGGAACAATTTTTATGTTTGTTTTATTATTATTATTATTATTACAATTTTTGTAGGTTTTATTTTTGTTTCTCTAGTATAAGAGAATAAGCACAAAATTTGAATTCTGCCTCTGCTGGGGCTCTATCATTTAGACAAATCTCTTGTTCCATGGAATCTTCAGTTTTCCCATCTGGAAAATGGGAATCGTAGCCATTGTCTCATTTGCTGTTAGGGTTAATGAAGATAATGTGGAAAACCCCCAGTTGTGTGTCTGGCATATAATGTTGTTGTTAACTGCCATCAAGTCGTTTCTAACTCATAGCAACCCTGTAATAGGGTTTTGAAGGAGTTGGGGATTTGACTGGGGGAGTCGAATCACCAGCCTCGCAGTTCAAATCGACTTTGCAGTCTAGTGCTTACCCTGCAGTGCCACAATATAATGTTGTTGTTATGTGCCGTGGAGTCGGTTCCTACTCATAGCGACCCTGTATAGGGTTTTCAAGGCTGTAAATTTTACGGGAGTAGAAAGCCTCATCTTTCTCTCGTGGAACAGCTGGTGGTTTTGAACTGCTGCCTTGCGGATCACAGCCCAATTCGTAACCACCAATTCGTAACCACTTTGCTACCAGAGCTCCTTGCCACAATATAATAGGTGCTTGATATGTCTTATTTTTAGGTAAATCTGAAGCATCTGATTCTGAGAGATTAATATTCTCTTGTGAGGTCAGAGCCCTTGACAGAGTTTCTCTCCTGCTTGGCGTCCAACCTATAGTTGGGAGTTCAGAGTAACTCCTGTGCTTTGGTGACATGCTCGGCCCAGGCAAATATCACCTTCCAAGATGTTATCCATTAAGAGGAGATGAAAAGGCTCCATGGTTCTATTTCTGCCCCATGGCCTGATTCTCAGCTCCTTC